GGAGAAATTGGCCTGTTTGCCAGAGTTTTGGCAGGGCCACCAACAAAGTATCTAATCCCTTCTGGACTATGCGTAGTTGAATTTTAATCATTCACAAGCTGAATACGCAGTTGTCTCTTCCAGCTCTTTTTCCCCTCTATCACCAGCATTTGCTACTTCACTCGCTAAGCCTATTGCTTGGAGCAAAAATCACCTTTGGCAACCAGAAGAGTCTCCTTGTAAGGCCAGGTGAGCAAAGGGAGGGGAGACAAGCTGGGAAGGGAAGGAGAAACTTCTGCCACAGCTTGAGACACCTCTGACTTGGGGTGCACAGGAGAAAAAAAGAAGGGTTGTTTTTTCTTTAATGCTCATTCCCACTTCTTCTGCCTGAACAACACATGAGAGAAGAGGAGAGAAACATACCGATTCGTCCCGCGTCCTGCAGCTGGATTTTGAGCATCTCCATGGGGGTGGTGACAATAACCTGGCAGGTGCCAGCACCACAGCCTGCCAGCATCTCCCGCAGCAGTGTCAACTTTTTCCTGCCCGAGAAAAGAAAGACGAGAACGGGAGTCAGTTGGAGGTGGCGGCCTGGACCTGAAGACCTCAGGCATCCCCTTCCTTCCTTTCCCCTTTTTTATTTTTGGCACCACTTTTAAGCTTTGAGCATCTCCTGCCTTCCTGCCCAGCAGGGCAGGGCTTGCCAGAGGCACATCTTGCACCCCAAAACAGTCACTGACAGCTACCACCTGCAGTGCTGCTGCTTGCTTGCTGAGCCGGCACAGTCACAGATGGGATTCACACAGGGAACTGCAGGCGCAAGTGCTCAGTAGGACTCAATTTTGGGGAGTTAGTGAGCTCTCACTCAGCAAGAAAACCAACTCACTACTGTCTCAAAATAAACCATAAAAGCTATCACAAGCAAGCATCTTCATAAAGCTGCTGTCAACGTTTTGGGACTCAGATCGCTTTGCTCTTAAAAGGAAAAAAAAAAAAAGTGTATTTAATCACCCAGCCAGAGGGTAACCTCCTCTTTCTTTCTGCTTCGGATGCAATGCTCGCAAAGGTGCTATTTCCAGTCCTCCCACTGCTGCAGCAGAACTTCCCCTGACGCTCCTCCGCGCACGGCTGCAAGGGCGCGCGTGCCCCTCGCAGGGTGGCCGCCGTCCGCCCGCCCTCGGCCCCGCGCGCCAGCTGGGCTCCCCGCCTGCCCCCGTGCCGGGAGCCGAGCGGGGATTAGAGGTGCAAAGCCACGGCGGGGATTACCGGGGGCTAAACATAGCGCTTGCCTCCGCGACCGCCTCAGTATCAGAAAGATGCGAGGCGTTTTAAGATGGTTCGTCTCTAGATGACAGGAAGGGTTGAAATATTAGCACGACGCAGGCCTTATCCTGAAGGGCTGGAAAACTGGCACATCTCGAGTGACTTTAAAAGGTACAGGACCGGCAGGGCGCCGGAGCTACGAGCGCAGCCACTGTCCTTTCTCACTGTCCTTTAGCGCAGCAAAGAGAGTATTTAATATAAAAAAAGATACATTTACAACAGTTCCAAGCTCTGCGGTGGTCAAAACCTTTCATTCAGCTTCCTTAACTGATTTGTAATTAGGTTCCTAATGGGAAGGGGGAAAAGATTCATATTGCATTGGAATTGAAATTCAAACTAGAGAAGAAAAATAGGACAAGGCAGAGAGAATCCAAGGAAAAGACCCAAAGATTTATGGAGAGCTTCCCAAGAGCAATGCATCCATCTAGAGCTAGGACCTTTGCAGGCACAGATATATTAATGTCAAACAGGAGCAGAGCAGGATTTTTGTAAAAGCTTCTGAAAAATGTTGACCCCAAGAACTGCCTGTGCTTGAGGAGGGACAAAAACCTGCTGCTCTGGATCGGGCAGATTAGGCAGCACATATGGTGAGTTTGCCTAAGGAATCTTCCCTACAAAGCTGTATGTTCAAATCTGCACATCTGCATTGTAAAAGGCAACCAGATAAGTGTCCCCCAGCCCCTGTGCAAGGCTGCCCATGGTGCTACCCTAGAGACCTCCATCCTCGGCTTGCTCGCTTATCAGATGGCCGCTGCCTCGGGCTGCTCCAACCAGCAAGTTGTGGGAGGCTCCTGGGGAGTCTGGGGCCAAGGAGCCACCTGGGTGATACTAATTTCAGGAGAAGGCCTTCGATACGCATGTGGGGCTGACATGCTGCAGATCAGGGCAGCCCAGCGGTGGCCGGGCAGGGACACGCTCACCAAGCGTCCCTCAGGCAGCACTGGATCCTCCTACCACTCACAGTGGGTCAGAGACAAGTTACCAGCATTAAAGGAGTGTCTGGGCATCCCCTGCGCTGGGATCAGGGCTATTTCTCTTTTCAGAGGAAAGCAGGGAAGCCGGGGGGAGGTTGAAACTTGCTGGTATCAGCAAAGAAACAATGCAAAAGTGCTGGTCTTGCTAGGAGCGGGGCTGCAGAGTCAGCAGAGTATCAGCCTTTGCTCCTGAACAGCAAACAAAATGAAGGTCAAGACTAAAGAGGGCAGGAGAGGTGAGGAAATTGCCACAGTAACGCACCTCCGAGGGGAGTGGCAGGAAGTCATCCAAGGACCTTGGGGATCTCTTAAGAACTAGAACTTTATTTTAAAAGCAAGCCATGAGACGCTTTTCACTGCATCCAAGACAGTTAACCAAAAACCTGAAGAGGCAACAAAACTTGGCAAATCCAAGAGCTGACCAGCACTCAATACTTTAGATATAAACCTGAAACTGTGTAGGACCCTTTAAAGGAACCACCTCTTAGGAAAAGTGTCAGGCAGGATGGGGCACAAGCACCCCAGGAATGAGGACCAGCACCAAGACTCCTGTGCAGGTCACCTCTTCTGCTTTACTGCTCTGGGAGCTGCAAAGACCATCAAGCCAAAGTAATCGCAGGACCGTGCTAGGCTAATGCCTTTTCCAGTCAGTGACAAGGGGTATCCCTTTTCTCTTTTTGGTATCTCAAGTTTTCCTCCGTGGCTCAGCAAGGTGTTGGCACTGCTAAGACAACTCACCAAGGCATCCTCGTTCCAAAATCACTGGAACAGCACACCAGGACCAACACAGTAAGTCTTGTTTCCTTCCAAAACCAGAAGTTCAAAGTAAGTCATCATACTGCTCTTGTCAGTAAACACACAGCCCTGCTGTACCAGGAGGACTGGGAAAGTGCTCTGCGAGGGGGACTGTCCACTCAAGTGGGTTCCAAGGCACAAGAACACTGCATGAACTGAGATAGGGAGGTGAGGGTACCCACAGCAGTACTGAATCCCATGGGAGATCCAGGTACCTCGGGACACCACCTCCGGGTGCATCCAAAAGCTTGGCCAGGGCAAAGTGAACTCAGCACAGACCTGTAGAGATAAATTCTAAATTGCTCTTCCAGCAGTTTATAGACTGGAGCTTCCTATGCTGTGACCTTCTGGAAGCGGAATTTCTGCCCTTTTCATTTTTTCTCTAGCAGTTTAAAAAGAGATTCATTTCAACAGAGTTTCTCAAAAGTAAAAAAAAAAATAATAATAACAAGGCACACTAAAAGCTGTTGTATAACTTGAGGCTATTTGGGGTCACATTGTATTTGCCACACTCCCTCCTGTTTGTATGTGCTTCTTCCACTTGTATGTGCAGCACAGGCTCAGCAACTTTTAATCAGCAAATACTGATAAAACCTGTGCGTTTTATCAGAAAAGGATCTCCAATTCATCTTGGATGTATTTCGAGATAAGCAAGGAGGTTTAGCAATGAAGGTGTTGAAAGTCGAATAGATCTAGGAGACCTGTGCAGGTCTTTGAGCCAGAAAAGCACTGTTGCTGGCTGCAGTCACATCCAGCCTGCAAAGTGCTTTGTTTCTCATTACATCTTGGAGTACCGTTTTCACCTAGAAATACCTTAAGCTACCTGTCACCACAGCATCATGCAGTACCTGCAGGAGCTTTACTACCAGCATGTAGCTTCTCAGTGGCTGAAGCCTCAGGGCAGCAGTTGCTCCTCAGGGTAGCAGTTGCAGAAGACCAGATGTATCGCAGTGCTGGTCCAGTTTCTTCCACGGGCCAGTCTTTCAACAGAACTGAGGGTACAAGCTTAGCACCCTTTCCTTCTTTTTCCCTGTACAACCTTCTAAGCCCTCATGTTGTAGGTGTTGGCAAAGAACTAGCAGTGCTGCAGTGCTTCTGGCCACGCAGAAGGCCAGGGCCCACTGCACTGTCACTGCTGCAGGGATCGGGGCCAAAGAAGCAAGGAGCAGCGAGGACATCACCACCTCCCACTGTCTGCACGAGTACAGAAGAGACATTATTTGAAGACACAGAAAATGCACAAACAGCTGTGAGCTGCTGAGTCACACAGACATATGTTAGCTGCTGCTTTAAAGGACTACAGAACAAAAGAAGTGAGGTACATGAAAGGCCCAGATCCTCAACCCATGTAAATCACTAAACTCCACTGCCATTGTTGAGCCACTCTGATCGTAACGCCTGAGCCTCATGTGGGATGCTACGGGGAGCCGGAAAAATCAAACAATCATTGCAGAGCTTTATGTTCACAAGGATGCTCTACCCCAGCACTGCTGGTGGCAAGAGTTAGGGTAACCTCCCAAGCCATCTGTTTTCCAGCTGCTAGGGACCAGAGGCAGTGCCTTTGCTAGACTCCTCACTGGCAATCACTGGAAAGAGTTCTTGGTCTGAATGGAAACACAAGTGTCCCCTGAATTATGGAGAAAACACTTTGATGAAAACAGCATTAGCTATTCATGGTCCAGTTTGGTGCTGCCAAACTAGTCCTCTTCTGTGTCATTTAACTGGTGTGGAAGAGTTCCCATCACCAAACTAAACAGATAATTTAATTCCTTCAGCATTTATGGGCAGATCTGCTACTGAGCAACACTGCAAGTGCCATTTGTCAACACAGATTTGTTCCTGACTTCTTCTCACCTCTCTGAAATAATTTCCACGTTACAAAAACACAAAAGGGTGCTAAGTTTGGATCTACAGAACCTGACTCACCATCTGTTCAAGCTACAATCTCTGAAAAGCCAGGGAGTGCCAAAGAGCACCCAATGGGAAGCTGAGGATGAGGTCCTCCCAGCAGCTGCCTGAGGAGAGAGCAATGCTGTTGGGTTCCTCCTCAAATACTTTGCCTGCAAAGTCTGGATCTCTTAACCTTGGCTTAGATCTAGGGTTATTTTTAGAAGCTTGAAAAAGCTGTCCTACAATGAAGCGCTTTTCACTTCCAGTTTTAGACATCATATCCTTAGCTTGAATGCAATCACCAGCTGAGCGGTTGAAGAATGACTAGCACTCCAGCCAACCCATTTTGCTTTTGCCCTGCCACCTCTCCAGGAGCCAGTGGCCTCAGCCCTGGTGCTGTAGGTCGGCACCTTCTACTCACCCGTCTTTGGAGAGGTGATGCCGGAAGAAGTCATTGGCTGCCAGTTTGATGGCCTTTTCTGGCGTCACTAGGGTCAGGTTCACTGCAGCCCCTAGGGAAGGAAAAGATGAGAAGACCATTGGAGGACAAGAATAAATCACCCGTTGCCTGGATCACTCATGCATTTGTCATAACTCCTGCTCAAAACTGGGGACAAAGATAGATGGGAGCTCCCAATGCACAAAAAAGATTTATAAACACAAAGCATCACTGGAGTTTAATAGGATTTCTACCTCCCAACACTTGTTTTTTTCTGCAAACATCCCCTGACATATTTCCATTCCAGTTGCAAGAGGCTTTCTGTAATTTCTTTAGCTTCACAACTACCAACTCCCACCATTCATATACACATTTCCTTCTCCCACCCAGAGATGCACACCTATGAATTTCAGAGGGATACGGATCAGGATTTCAAGAAAAGAGGGTAAATGGGATTAATAACCAGCCCAGCTCTTTTGGGAATATTTTGTGACGCTGAAAAGCAGAATACACGCTCTCTTCCCTTCTTGCTACTGATCCAGCATTTCCGAAACCACACACTGGTGCTCTAGGACAGCCAGAGCCCTTGAAAGAATTAGATGTCAGGCCAAGTCAAATAGATGCTCTGCAGAGATGGCAGAGCCACTTAGTCGGGCTGGTGAGTGCCTGCCAAGTCAAATAGATGCTCTGCAGAGACTTCAGCCAGCTCTACACCAGCCCTGTGGGTTAGGAGACCACCCCTGTGCATCCTCGCTGGATGTCACTGGCAGAGCCACTTAGTTGGGCTGGTGAGTGCCCTTTTGTCCATCCCAAGCTGCAGCATGTGCAAATTCCCTCAGAGACACCCAGCCTCGGATGGCCGCTCACTGGGGACAGGACATAAACAAGCCCTCGCTACCACCTCCCACAGAGGTGCCATTTTGCCAAGAGCAGCGAAAGGCAAATCCCCACATTGTGCCTGCCACAATGAAAGGCTGCGTGGTCCGCTCAGGGTGGCATTAGTGAAACACGAGGGCTTGCACACCAAATGAACAGCCATGTCTTTGGGAAAACAAGAAGGGAAAGAACAAAATCAAAAAAAAAAATCCCCACAGCTGCTACTCTAACATCCGCTGAAAGAAAGAAAGAAAGGAAAAAAGCAAGCAAGAAAGGGAAGCGAGCAGTATGCTTCCACGTGCTGACATCCTCCATCAACCGAGGGCTTTCACATCCATTTTTTTCCTCCAATTGCAAATAAAGTGGAAGGGTGAAAAAAAAAAACCCCGCTGTGTACACATAAAAAATAACGAACCTGGGTTTTCTCCTACATCTTTGATATTTTCTGCAAAGCTGCTTAGCAGAGAATGGATAATCCCTGTCCTCAATAATCCATAACAGCTTCAACTCACTGGAGGAAGAGAAATTAGATACTTCAGCTGTTGTCTGTGCACCTTCCGAAGTGTTTTCTACCATTTTAGAAACCTTTAGCTCTTAAAATTCTAGCTATGATAATAAATATATTTCCCTAATGAAAACTAACCTCAGCCTATAGGCAAAGCTGTATATATCTAAACGAGTGGCAGATGGGGTCAGAAACGAAACAAAGTCAGGAAAGCAGGAGAGCAGTGGCACGAGGCAGCAGCCAAGCTCTTGGGGGCGGCTCGCTCATGGTTGCGTTTCTCTCTTTCGGTTGGGTTTAGTGTTTGCAGAAGTCAGAGTGCCCTGGGTGCTCAACCGTCATGTGTGAAGACCGCGGCCCCCAGCTGGGGAGAGAAACTATGCACAGACAAGCGCTGTGGGGCAGAGCCGCTGCCTTTGCCAGGCGGGAAAGGAGCACTGGTGGAACTGGCGCGCTGCAGGCATGACTCCCCTGGCTATCAGCAGGGTACACCGAAGCCTGAAAAACTCTGCATGACCCCGGCAGTCCCGGATACTTTTGGCAGACAGCGTGTGAACTGGAGGATGACGTGGCAGGTATTATTAGCAACGCGTTATGAGTGTATATGGGGCATGCTGCAGCTGAGCAGCAAAGTGCATTTGCCCTTAGTCCTTTGGCTCCTGCACAGCTAGGCACAAGGGCTGCAGCACAGTGTGTGCCTGCGGAGCACGTGCGCCTTCCCGGCCCGTGGGTGGTCGGCAGCGGGGTGGAGGGGATGCTCCTGCTCTCCCAGACACCCCTCCGCTGGTGTCCATGCAGCACAGCGAGCCACAAGCAACCGCAAATTCATTTGCTTGGCACCACATCTGATGGCAGCACAGAGACATTGTCTGAGCACAAGTGGGGTATGCAGTACTGCCCTGCTCTGAGACATGGCTTCTACCTAGATATTATGAGAAAACTGTCAAAAAGCCTCTCCTCCTACCAAAAAAAAAAAAAAAAAAGGAGCACCCGTAACTTTTGGGAAAGAGCTTGAGAGCAATGTTGGGATGGCCTTACACACTGTGCAGCTTACTGTGCACAGGGAGTGGTATGCCCACCTGCACTCTGTAATATATCATGAGAGAAGAGAAGCAGCCCAGAAACTCAGGTCTCCCTCCTGACGGCACCAGAAGCTTTCACTTGTGCTTTAAAGAGACCCAGAGTCACGCCCTGGGAATGGCTGGGCCTGGATAGACACCCTTTCTCCTCTGACAGATCCTTGGGCTCTGTGGTAGGGATGACTGATGTCCACAAAAGAGCTGGAACTCCTTGCAAAAGCCCTATCCAAACCCAGCTCCCCCTTCAAGAGGGAATCCAAAGTGACAAGCAGGTTTAAGCTGACACTAATCACAGAGTGGCGGCTTCGTTCCTCACTAAAAACACAGCAGCAGCCAGCTTCTGGGAAAAAACAAGGGAGAAAACAGCACAGTTGACTCTGGGGTGGAGTCTGCCAGGCTGCTCCCCAGGCTTATTCGCCCTGTGTGCTCCCAGGAGGCTGGCAGAGCAGCCAGTCCATCCCCAGCCCTCACCCCACTTCCCCAAAACGCCCCCCAGCAAACTGGGCAGGGGAAGCTGCCTCAGCGGCCAGCGCTCCCACGAGAGCCGGCCCCAGCGGCCGAGCCCCCATGGAGGTGCTGGCAGGAGCCGCTGCCAGCGGCATCGCTCCCACAGCTCCTGTCTCCTGCTTGAAAAGAAGCGGCACCCATTGAATCATTGTTCTTTAATCTGACTTTCTCAAGGAATGAACGCCACAAATAATGCTATCTGAACCCTGCAAGATAAAAACTGTGTGTTCAGGCAGTTGTATACCAATACATAAAAAGAGCCGGAGGCCGAGTGTTAGATAAACCAGCTGGACTCCTGCTTAAGGCCAAGAAGGTTTTCCATGTTTTCAGTTACTAGGTGAAGAGTCAGAATTTGGCCTGCTCTTTTTCTCTCTTCCAAACCTTTACGAAATTCCCAGGACCTTGTGTATATACTTGGCAAGGTGTCACATTAACTGAGGAACTCCTTACTGCAAGAGGCAGTAAGGGACCAGATTTATTGCAGGTTAAAGCACAATGCGAAAGTAGCTGGAAATCCAGCATAAGCCATGAGTCCTGATATTTTTTTTTTTAATTTTGTCAACCCCAAGGGAATTTTGCTTGTAGAAAGATTTTTTCTTTCTTTCTTTCTTTCTTTCTTTCTTTCTTTCTTTTTTTTCCTCTTCTTTTTTTTCCCCCTCCGTCCCCCACAAAGTAGCCTGTCTTTATACTTGCACAAAGCCTTGAGGTATGCTTGAACTAGCCAAATTTAGAGACAAGTTACCGCCCAGACAGGGCAGCAGGCCTAACCACGCTGGTGCTTCACATAGGCTTGGGCATGAATTCAATTACCTACCACCAAGTGCAGCACACTGCAAGCTTTTCTACTGCCCCTCTGACAAAAATTAGCGTGGCCAGGATAGGAGAAACACACACACACAAACTCAGATCAAGGGCCAGCAGCTTTGTTTAAACTGTCATCAAAATTGAGCTTAATCAAACTGCAACGTTTATCACCAAAACAGCCATGCGGAGGACTCAAGCCTTTGATGGCAGAGAGTTGATCAGACATTGAGTTTATTTTTATGAACTGCTGCTGCCAGATGCACTACGGCACCTCCCCTCAACATCTCACAGGTCTAGGACATTATTTTCTCAGGTAGAGAATATGAATTTCTTTCCACTTATGCAGCCAGGGCTTCCAAAGCAGAGTCAAGCATTGCAGGAGGAGCACGGTGCCTGACTTGGCTTTACTTACCTCTATACATGCCAAAGTAGCCTTCTGATCGGATTGTTTTAATGAGGCAGTCGGACCTGAAAGCCAAACAGAGAGAGAGATAAACCATGGAGCTCAAAGGTGGGTAGGGGCAGAGAAAACAAATCTCTCCAAGGGGTTTTCCATTTACGATCCGTCAGCAAACCCCAGAGCCGAGAATGGAACATGGTCAGCTGCTCAAAGTGCCATTGTTTGAGCTTGAGTTGGATTTCAGCCCCTAATTCACTGGGCTTTGAAACCCCCGGCTCACCCTACACGCGCACTGTCTGCTTTCTAACACAAAGGGAAAAATGTTACGACGAGGGCTATTTATCCAGGGTCCCCTGTGGCAAATGCACACAGGATGTTCTAACAATCGTATTCTCATGTGCCTGTTTTTAAATCTGGCTCTGCAGGGGGAAAGGCAGGGGCAGAAACCCCTAGAACACTTGACTTACTCCATGAAATGTGACACAGGGCACACAAACATTAGCTGACCCAAACACTCAGTCATCCGTGACCTCCTACTACAATTAAAAGTGCTTACTCTTAACGCACTGCCTCCACTGCAGGCGACAAGGGCAGTCGCCTTGGGGAGGGAGCGCCTGAGGGGAACCCATCACCTTCTTTTCTCTTAACTGTGTTTATTTTTAATTGGAAAACCCTGCAGAGCTCTGGAACTGCTCAAAGCCTGCTCAAAGCCTTTTGGGCAAGTGCTTCTGACACAGGCAGATCTGCGGTGCAGGACGGGCAGTGCAGGGGCTCCCCAGGCTGCCCAGGCTCACCAAGGCTGCCCGCTGCCTAGGGGTTGCTCTGTGGTTTTTTGGAAGGGGCGAGTGCTTGCCATGGCTGGAGGGAAGGGGTGCACATGCATGCACGTGTGCGTAATTCAGGAACAAAGGGTTCTTTTAAGTAGTAATAAAGGAAGTGTAACTGCCTGGAACATAGATACAACTTTGAGATATTTGTCAGGAGACGGAGAAATCTTTGTCCGTGCTCTGAAATGACAGCCCAGCCCCTGGGAGCTGGGCATTTGGCGCTCCAGCACAGCCTCTGCAGCCAGCACAGCCCCAGCTCTGCCTGGGCTCTCCTCAGCAGCCTCCCCTCTTCTGCTGAGGCAGGACACAGAAAGGCCCAGTGTTATCAAGAGGCTGTTACCATCATCATATCCTTACCTCTGCTGGCCCCTGAAGGGCTGCCCTCTTTCATCCATTGTGAACTTATCCCCACCAGCCCAAGCTCACTTTTCTGACAGCTACTACCAACCTCAGAGCAGCATCTTCTGTGAGACCTGTTTTTTCAGGCTGAGGGAGCTGGGCCTGTTCAGCCTGGAGAAGAGAAGGCTGAGAGGAGACCTGATCAGTGCACATAAATCCCTCAAGGGAGGCAGTGAGGAGGATGGTGCTGGCCTCTTTTCAGTGGTGGCCACTGGTAGAACTAAGGGAAATGGCCACAAACTAAAGCATCAAAAGTTCCACGGGAACTTAAGGAAAAAATTCTTAACAGTGAGGGTGACAGTGCAGTTGAACAGGCTGCCCAGAGAGGTTGTGGAGTCTCCTTCTCTGGAGATCTTCAAAACCTGCTTGGATGCAGTCCTGTGCCATGTGCTCTAGGTGACCCTGCATGTGCAGGGGGATTGGACTAGATGACCTCTAGAGGTCCCTTCCAACCTTAAGCATTCTATGATTCTATGATTTGTCTTGGGTTCCTTCAAGTGCCATCTCAAAAACACTAAGTAAATCCCCCTGTTCCTCAACAGCATCTCATCACACAGGCAGCTGGGCTCTGGTTTGCTCCAGAGGAGCTGTGGACTCACTTGCTGGAGATTAAAAGCCTCCCTCCTGCAGGGTTCCCTCCCAGACTGGAGGCACCCTTGAGTGGAGAGTTGGACTAACTGACCTCCAGAGGTCCCTTCCAGCCACAGCTATTCTGCAAGTCAGCAGTAGGAGCTCCTGACCACGGCTGCAGCACAGAGAAGTAGCGCAGAGAAAAGGCTGCTGAAGGACCATCGTTACCCTTGTAGCTCAGCTCCTGGCCTGAGCTCCCCTGCAGCTACTGCTTGCAAGGACCAGGCTCACTGACACCAAGTTCACTTCCACTGTAGCTGCAAGTGTGAACAAATCACTTGCTAAAGAATCAGCCCCATTTTTTAAGTCTCCCCTAGTTCCAAGCAGCTCCCAAAGTGGTCTCCATCATAACAATTCTCTGCACAGCTCTTGGTACCTCATCTCACCCCTTCCCATCCAGGGCAAGCTTTGCCAACTGTGCTAAACCTTAGCCCATGGAAGCAGCACGTCTCTTCATGCTGCCCACTTCCTTGCTGCATAGACGAATGCAGCAGGCAAAGAGCTGTCTTTCTGTGCATTTCTACTATCCGTGTGTCTTGCTAACAAAAGGATCTGGAGACATCCCCAAGGCTCTCTCGCATGCAGACCTAGCCCTGGAGACAGTGTTTCTATAGGAACCCAGCAAGTCTCTCCAACTATCCCTTGTGCATCTACTGATCATATTGCACCTCTCCCACACAGCAACACTCCCCTGGGGAAAGAGCAGCAAATAAACATTCCCTGTCCTTATGGGCCAAAAGGAGGAACCATCCAGGAACAGTACTGAACTTCTTGCCCCTTTCCCAGAGAGAATGTGTCATTCACACACCACCACAGGTCTGGGCAACAGCAGCTGCAGACACGCTGATGGGCATCAAACTCAAAAAGCGTGGCCAGAGCTCCAGCCTCCACTCAGGAGTAGCTTGAAGTGATACTACCCAGGAGCACCAGCCTCCTTTGCATCCTGTGCTAGGTGCTGTACCCGCTCTGACAGTGGACACACAGCCCTCCACATCTCTCAATCACAGGTGCATCTGTGGGCTGGGTACATTTGTGCCTTCGTTTCACACACTCTGCAGCATGTGATCTTTTGGACACAGAACTGATGGGGAAACTACAGTGTGTGCCAACCTGTGTTCCCTCAGAAGGGTTGCAGTGCCTCAGAACAGGAATGGGTGTGATGGTTTCCTTTTTTTTTAACTGACAAGGCAAAGGAAATGATTGTTGCATCCAATATGACAGTTATGGATGCAGGAGAGAGACAGAAATTCCCTCCTGCACCTGGCTGCAGCACAGCAGAGAAGCGAGACAGGCTCTTTGCATTTTGGCCCAGAGCCCTTCTGCCCTTTCAGCCCGTGCTGACAGCAGAGAATATGCTGCTCCCAAGTGCAAGACAAAATAATAGACATGCCCTCAGCAGAGGTCTCACCTGCTGAGAGAGCTCAGCAGCCTCAAGAACTGCTTTATTTGTTCTAGCAGCTTGTTTCAAACCCTGGCTTTCCCAGGCACAGTCCAGTTCCTAGAAATGCTGATCTCACGTGAACGCGGCAGCCAGGCAGTAGGACTGCCCGTGTGAGCCCCTGGGGAAGGTGCCCGTGCACGCAGAGGTACTCACATGCTGCTGTACATCCGCTGGCCATTCTGCTGGTTCTGCAGGCGCGTCTTTGCCAAGTCAATGGGAAATACACAGGTGACCCCGATGAGTCCAGCTATCCCTCCATTGATCAGCTTGGCAGGTAAACTGTAAGGGGAGGAAACACACAAAACCAGACGTATTGGCACTGAGATAACTTTAGGTGAGTGAAAGAGGAAACAATGCTGCCCTTTTACAACAAAAACAAACAAAAAAAAAACCACACTAACCCACAAGGATGCTGTCCCTCCCCAGCACACAGGGAGTTCTGCCTCAAGGCAGAGGCACGAGGCTGGCGCTTGCAGACCTGGGACTTATACACGTCGCTGTCTCCAAAGAGGAAGAGGCGATAGACTGTCTTTCCATCCTGTTTCGGCCCTGTGAATATGTCAAGACTCCCATGCTCCTAATGCCACAAGACACTTCTCAGACAAATACTCAAAATAAAAAACTCACATTAGCTGTAAGCACAGCATCACCAAGACTTGGCCTTGTCCCTCATCCCAGGGATGCCTGCAAAAGCTCAGAGCCACTGGCCTAGGGGACAGGGAAGGTGCAGAAGTATTGCTCCCAAATCCTCCCCGCTGGCCCTTTTCCAGGCAGCCTCCATCTCTGCTCCTTTCCTGCCATGGGACAGGGCCAACCCCACTCTGCTCTTGCAGCGCCCAGAGACCTGCTGAGAAAGAATCCTCCCTGCAAGCAGCAACGGGGATTCATTCTGTGAAGGAGAAAGGGGTGAGGTCCTAGTTAAACCTTTACATAACCCAGCAGGAACAGGGCCCATAAGAAGGGTTGGGCAACAAGGTACACAGGCCCAAGGTTAGAAAATCCTTTTGTTTCAGTCCTGACTTCATGAAATCTGGCATCACATCCAAACAACAGGGAGTGGGAAGAGAAATCTCCCCAGGACCTAAGGATTCCTGAAGTCTCTAGAGAAGAAAAACAGCGCTGGACCATGTACCAACTTCACATGGCATCATAGCCAGCAGTGCTGCAGGCGAACACGTTTCAGCACTGCAATCAGCTACACCCCTAAACGGCAGCTTACGACATGTCAACCGCTAACGTGGCATGGGAGGGCGCAGGCAGAAGCGCCCAGCTGGCGGACGAGGCGCAGGCGCCTGCCAAGCCAGGGAGCTGCTTCCCACTGCTCTGGGAGCCGTGGCCCAGGGCAGAGCATCCACGAGCTGACACCCCAGCCAAACTGCAGGGTGGGCTTGCGTGCAGATGCAGAAATGTGAGCTCAGACCTACGGGGGAAGGCAAAGCCTGGCACACATGCCAAAACATGGGGCTTTTTCCACCCGCCTTTCGATTCCCACAGGGAATTCTTGGAACCTGCCAGTGGCTCCAAGCTAGAGCCAGAGCAGTGAAACGCAAGCTCCCAGCAAATTCAATTATGCCAAACGCCCAGCATTTACATGCTCGATAAACCACCACGCACAGACACAAAGGCAGCCTGTTTGAGGCAGCTCCCTGCAATAAAGCCCAGGCCACGGCTCTGTGCACACAGGACGTGCTGGATATTAACCAGAAGGCTGACAGCCGGCCTTGATTGCAGCCGGGCGAGCAGGCTACAGCGATACCATGGGATTGCCTGCAAGGCCGAACCCTGCTGTTGCGGACCTGGTATGCTCCCTGCCACAACGGTGACATCTGCAACGTCCTGCTCCACATGGGGGCACAAGGAAAGCAGTGGCAAGACTGGCCACGATGCAATGGGCTGAGGCTCTGCAAGCATCGTCCACACAGAGGCCTTCTCACGGGCTCTGCAACGAGGCCAGTGGCAGAGGATCGATAACTGGCCATGTGGAAAGAGCCTCGCTGCTCCAGGCCTGGCAGAAAGGCAGGGTGTGAAGACTAAGGTTATAACTGGAGATCTCCCTGGAGGAAGCAGAGAGAATGACTGCAGAGAGAAGAGAAGAAAATATAATATATTAAAAAAAAATAAAAAAAAAAAAAAAAAAAAAAAAAAAAAAAAAAAAAAACTTGCCCACAAGTGCAAAGAGAGAGCTTGACCCTCCAGGAAATTCCCTGCATGCTCCTTTTGCAGCCAGTGCAAGTTGCTCCCTCCTCAGCACCCACGCTGATGCAGCTTGCACGTGCAGCCCTGGGGCTGACACAACTGGTGGAAGAGATGCTAACGATGGGCAGACAGACCAAAGCTCAGCCCCGACTCACAAGCGAGGCAGTGCTGACAAAGATTAAAACCAAGCCCAGCACGTTAGAAAGTCATGCCTAAATTAGTGTATGATCTCAGAGCTGTGCCATGCTCCAAGGTCTCACCCGCTCGAGACTGCTGCCTCAAGGATCTTTGCACTACAGCCTGAGAAGGAAACTTGTGAACTCCTCCGCTCATTTAATCTCAGGGTAAGGGAAAAGTTTAGCAAACAGTGGGCTTCACATCACAGCTTTCTCCTCATCTAACCCACAGCACAACTGAATGCTGAGGCCAGAGACCTGATGAAGGTCACATCAAGATGGAGACTCCGCTGGGAAGCAGGCATTTCAAACAGACTCTAGCCAGTGCACAGTGTCCATGCAGACCACACAAGATGGGATCTCATAGGATTGCCTAAGTTTAATTCCAAAGTCATTGCTGGCAGGTCACAGACTGCAAGTTACAAAAGCCATCAGGACCCCTCTCTGGTCTTGTTGCTGCCATGGCTTCTCTGTGAAACACCTGGAGCAGGCAGACACTTGCCTCTCCCTGCTTGTTCCAACAGCAAAATCATCACAGCATTTACATCAGGTGGGAGTGAGACACGGACTCGTGGCAAACATGCTGCCTGCTGGCACCGCAGGCGCAAAAGATTCCCCAATTTCAGCGCAGACCCCAACAAAAAAGGGGAATAGTCTGATGTGCCTGAGCAAGTCAAAGAAGTTGGAGCAACACAGGCTGCAGTGAGCCTCTCATCCTATCTGTGGATAAGAAATCCTTGTTTAACACTCCCACTGCAGCCGAATTCAACAATTTAGGTTCTCCCGTGAGGACTGCAGAGAGACTAGAACAGGCAAATAATGCGGCAGCACCTGGGGAACAGCTCTCCTCACGCTCAGATGAAGTAATATGGGCAGAACTGAGGAAACCCAATGCTCTTCATCTCACCTTGCAGAAAACTACTGCTGTGGATTTCGGTCTTTTGGTCTCAGTTTGCTAAGGGATGACGGACACAGGCTAGCAAACAAATAGAGCCACTTGCTCAGTTTTACACCAGAAGGAAGAGAAAGACATCTCTGTTCTCCTTATGCTCCCCTCAGCCCTTTAACCAGACCCCCTAGCCAGCAGGCTCCTGTTCCCACTGCCAGAAGCGCACTGGAAAGCTGGAGGAGATCCTGGAGGACACATCTCCCCTGCCTTAAAATACCTGGCTCCCCTCAGCGCCAAACAGCCGCAGACATCTGCTCCTTTCACTCTGCAGAGGCTATCAAAGCCCTGCACCCACCAGGCTTTACAGGGGTGAATCTCGGCCTTTGCTTTGGCGGTATAACTGAACAGTGCCAAGTGCTCCTGAAATCACATAGCTGATGACAGGCAAATCTAGGCACATAAACACTCTGTAACGCTGCCTTGTTATCAGTGTAGCTCAGGACTGCCTTCGTTCCCAGAAGAGAGAGGAGTGGGAAAAACAAAAGGGAAAAAAAAAAATTGTGGCAAACACTGAGCAGGGGCAGCTCTCCTTCCTATAACATTGAAGTGTTGCCAAATCCTGGCCCTCTGTCACCAGATATCATTCACCCACTGTGCTAGGCCACCTGCTTAGCTCCTGCCCTGAGGTGGTAACTCGGGAAGGTCGGAGTTAGAAGAGGGGCTCAGAAAAAGATGAATCCCAAGGCATGTAGGAATCATTTGTCTGGAGCAACTTCACAAGCAGCAGAAAGCAAAACCCACTCGCAGGACTGTGCAGATCTGACCCAGCTCCTAGGAAGCTAAGGACAGTGTCAGGGCAGCTAAGGGCAAGCAGGACACTTAGCAGTGTCTTTTCTACAAAGACATCCCAATTCACATCCAGGGGGAACTCACATCCAGCCTTTACGTGTGCTAGGACCAAGGCTCTTACATTCCTGCGGTGCAGTCGAGTGTCACCAGCTATTTTAAGCTTGGCAACAGCCACACGTTGGTACTTCACGTTCCTACAATCACTCAAGCCATCAACGGCTTTAGAGGAACGGGACAAGTAAGCATCTCTGTGGAGATTGCAGTTAAAAGCATCAGATAATCAGCTGGTCAAAGAGCTTGGCTTTGCTCCCTCAAAGGCTGAAGTCAGCAGGTCAACCAGACCTTTGAAAGGCGAAGTGAAAAGGAACTCGGGCATGCAACAGAAAAAGCAAAGGGAAAAAAGAAATGAGCAGTGAGAAGAAAGAGCTGAAGAAAACAGAAATGTGAGAACATGAGCAAGACAAACAACAGGAGAGAAGCAAAGACTGGGAAAAAAAACAGTTGAGAGAGAAGCAAAGAAGGAATCAGAGCAGTTTACAGCAAGAAGAAATTATCAAGGGATCGCCTCTAGCCTCCTTTATCACAAAAGAGATTGAGTTTGAAAGCCTAGAAAATAAAAATCTAATAATAATAATAGACAATTAAAAAGAAATTACCTGATCTGTTTATCAGCCATTTAATTCAAACTTGAACTTGTTATGAAATGGGTTTGTTCTTTCCGGTGGCTCCTTAACTTCCTCTTCAGTCACTGCTTCTTAAGGGCTCAGGGTTTCTTCCTAGGAACAGAGACCAAGGAGACAGAAGTTGAGAACTAGCCACTTGCACAGTCCTGAAGCTCAGGTCCTTCTGGGCAGGCTGTGCAAAAAGTGACTCAGAAGAGCACCCAGTCTATCTCCTGGCTCCAATGGGGAGGACTGGCCAGAAGCCGTGTTCTGTCAGCTTCAGAGAGGAAAACAGGTCAATCACACAGCTCGCTCTTAAGAGAGACAGACCTTCCCAAAGAGGCCTTCTTGCTGCTACAAAGAGAAAAGCCACTCCAGAACAAGGCAGGGTCCAGCATGAGGACAGGAAGCAGCAAGGCAGCACCTGAGCTCTGTGTGGCACCATGCGCAGCAGGGCCGCCCGCAGCCTCTCATTTCCCACCCAACTGGACAGCCCATGTCCCAGCCCATGCCCAGTCTTGTGCCAACATGGTCTTGGAATTAGCACCCAATTCTCCTCACTATAATTACACAATTTTGCACTTTGCACCCTTCCTTGCGAATGGGTGCCTGCTGGCACTGTACCAACACTACAAGTCCGAAGGAAACTGTTCTCTGGAGGATGCACAGTGACTTGTTTTTCCAAGGGAAACTGGCAGATGTCATCTGGCTGGTCTCCAAAGTGCTGCTCCTGAGCCAGCAGAGGAGGAAATCTCTTTTTTCTCGGCCTCAGGAATGAAATTTGTGGCCCCTTGACCACAGAAGCTTTCCTAGGCCATGGTGGTTCAGCAAGGTGGCTTTCAGGCTTCAGCTCTTGGATTAAGCAGGACTAAACCTCCCTTTCCACTTGGGTTCCCATATTTCTCCTCATTTACACCATGCTACTCTCCTCTCTCTCCTTGCCTGATCCCCTTCTGCCAGTTTCTTCCCTGCTCTCGAGCAGGCTGAAGAAGCATACCTTAAAAATCTCTAGAGATCAGCTAAGATCGTAAGATCTGCACTTTTTGAGGGAAATAAAAAAAATCACATAAGCCTTTCTCTGCACATTTTTTTCAAATGCATATCCACAAGAGCAGTTTGTTTCCCTCACAATTTAATCAGAATAAGACCCCAATATAAAAACAAACACACACAGAGACCTGCGAGACCAGTTATTGTTTTAAGTCTGCAACCCTGGCACATACAAGCCCTGAACCATGAAAACTCACTTGATAACATCTCTGCCCCGAATAGGATATTTGTGTTTACTGATGCAGCAACTCTGGACAAAATCTCTGCAGAGAGCAGAACTCCCAGCCTGCTCCTGGCATCCCACGGTATCGACTGCCTCGGTGCGGCGCACCCAGATCCAGACAGGGAAGAGGCTGCACAGCCACCAAATGCCCCCACTAAATATTGTCCCCCCTAGCACAGGTAACAGCTAGTGGGTGAGCAAGGGCAAGGAAACGGGGGCATTTCATAGCGAACACAACCACTTGATTAATGCTTACATGGCCCCTGACAGGGCCCACAGATTTTAATGCAGTTGGGGATTTCCACTAGGGTGGAAAACTGATTTGAGCTCTGTTTAGACAGAGCTACAAGAGAGCTCTGTTTGCAAAACAAACCCAAAGCCCCTGCAAACTCCACCCGAGCACCTTGCTGGGCACAACAATTCCTCTAATCCTTCAAAAACTGGCAACCAGTGAAGCCTCAGGTGCCCTGGCTAGATGGGTTCTCACCAGACCCCAGTCCCTCTCATGGCAGGGAAAATAGCTACTATCGTAGCTATACACTATACATTTATCCTAAGTAGCTATACACTATATGTAGCTAAAACACTATACATTTATCCTAAGTGGAAAGAGATTAGGCAGAGACTGAGGAATATCCTCCCAGGAATGTAATGCTCTTTGGAGCCAAAAAATGCAAAGAAAAGTGGCCAAGCAGCATTTTTTCAGCCAAAAAGGTTCAAAACTTTATTTATTTATTTAATAATAATAATAAAAAAGAGGAGCAAGGTCTGTGGGGAGGTCTAGCCTAATCCTGGGAAGCCTCCAAACAGCACCTGGACCAGCATCCAGAAGTTCCCACCTGAAAATCTCTGCATTAGGGCCACACGGATGAGGGCACTGCTGGAACCCTGCACAAGTAACGCAGGTGTCTGGAGGAAACTGGTAGCAGGGGGGCAAGAAAACCGAAAAACATCAGAGGCCTTCCCTAAATTGAAAGAGATTGGGAAGCCCTAACAGAAGGGGATTCCTAAATTGTATGAGCTGTAATTAAGAGAGCAAGAGCTGCAGAGACGATGAATTATGTGGCATTAATTCCTTCCTAGAGTGCTGTTAACACAGCGAGGCATGGATTAATGCCCCATTACCCACACGCCAGGATCTCCCTTCGACATTTATTAAAATGATGGAGCAAATTAGTTTTAGGAGGATGTGCGCATGGCAGCATGGGGAAGCACCTCAGCGCTAGGTGGAGAAGCCGCACAGCCAGCCTGGACCGATGCTAAATGAGAGCCACGTTGCCCTGTGCCCAGAAGCCCCCCTTGCTCAGACAGGGTCTCAAGTCCAGGGAAGCATCCGTACTAACACCCTGTGCTGGATGCGAGAAGTCAGACAGTCCTCTGCTTCCAAACCAAAATATCCCTCTGCTTTGCCTCAGCCCTTCCAAAGCTCAGGAGCCTTCTTAGGCCAGTCTCTTCCTGCTCCCAGCTCCTTGGCTCCCAAACAGCCAGGCCCAGAGATGGGGCCAGTATATCCAGCTGCCTCAGGGGGTACCACAACCAGTCTGGGCCTGGTGCTCAGAACCTCTGACACTGGCAAAAGCGTCGTTTTTGCTCCCATTCCTTGCCCACACACCACAGGCTCCCTGCACCTACCTTGCTCAGCTGTCTCCTCCCTGCCTGTAAGTAGGCCTCCTTCAGCATGGCCAACCTTCGCACACCTCAGACCAGCTGTACGGTACTAACTGCCAGCGCACAGGGCTGGACTATTAACCTTTGTTTCTTCTAGTCTTATCACCTGAAGGAAAAGCGCTTATCAGAGAATTACAGCCCCTTCTGGGGCATGGACCGGGTGCAGTCCCACCAAGCAAAGAGAGGGAACAAGGCAAAAAAAATGCCTGGGAGATGTCTCTGCCTTCAGGAGGAGTCCAAATTTGGGTGTCCCTGTCCCCATTCATCCCTGGGGCCCTGCTCTTCCATTAGACACATGTTCAGGGTATGCAGACAGCCAAACCAGGACCTCCACGAGACCCATTGTTGTAAAGCCACTGTTTTGGGGGTGTTTTTTAGACCCATACGCCTATGGTGAAACAGGGAAACAATTAGGACCCTCTCTTGAAGCACTGCAAGTGGCACTGGAGTCAGCTCCTTCCAGAGCTCCCATCTGGCCCTATCAAGCATGGGACTAACACATGGATGTCACGAGTCCCTCTCCCTGCATATTTAGGCGCAGCTACAAAGAGTGAAATGTGAGCTTTGGTCAGCAACCCTGGCTGCCTGCAGCACCCACAAAGTCTGGGTAGAAATACAGGCACCCAGTGTCTCCAGGAGCTGAGGCATCCATCCTGCACCACCCTGCTCCCTTGCAGGCTCCCTCCTTGCCAGCAGCCTCGCAGCAGAGCTCGAGACTGGCATGTGCTGGAGCCATCACCGAAAACAGGCCCTCAGACTACCACTTCACTTGCAAATAAACGGCACAAGGGAAAAATGGACTCACTTGCAGAAATTCCCACGTGCCTTGAGAGCAGATGCAAACTCAGCCCAGGGCAGCAGCCCTGCTTACCTCAGGTAGATGGCAGGCCAAAGTCCTGGGGGAGGCACCGTGCTGCTGGCCTGTCTCATTGGCCACACACAGTGCAGGGCATGGGCCTGAGCCTGCCTGGAGAGCAAGCATGCTAAGCCCCAGGAACTTGCAGCCCCTAGACACGTGGCACAATCCCCAGGACAAGGGCAGGTTACCAAAGCATTTGGCTTTGTGAACACGTGAGGTGGCAACCCAGATTCACCTGGATGTCCACAAAGAGGGGGGAAGCAGCAGGTACTGCAGGAAAGGAAGGGAGAAAAGCAGGGAAGGAGGTGGGGATGGCTCCTACTTCCAGGCAGCAGCAGCAGGAACACACCCAGTTCTCCCACACTCTCCCCTGTGGGCTCTCCATCCGAGTCGTGCAACAGGCTGGCCTTCATTCCCAGTACATTTAATCCTGCCTGCTTTGCCAAGAGACCTTAAGTGATAACTCTAGACAGTGAGTACCTACTGTTATCTCCGAGAGCTGGAGCTTGGAGAAACACCAAGGCCCTGAAAGCATTGAAAACTGCAAGAGAAATAAATGCCTTTCTGCCTGGGAGAACCTCCCTGCCTGGGACTGATAAAGCCAATGCCCCTCCTGTTGCCTGAGGAGGGCCAAACGGCCAGTGGCTTGTTTAGATTTGTGTGGAAACTGCTTGCTGCGGTACGAGCTGTCTGACTGCTAAACAAGGGGAGTCCCAGAGAGGCCTCTGCTTGCACCAGCACCACCTCCTCCTCACACCCCTCTGCTCTGCGCAATGACAGCCCAGGAAAGGGAGTCCGGGTCACGGACTCCAAAATAACTCCCCAAAGAGTTCCTTGGGCACACACCTCTCCTGCTGGGCAGCCAGGTGTGCAAAGGGTGACCCATCACCTGCGTAATGCCAAGGCGCTCACACTCAAGTCAGACATGGAAAGACTGGAGGAGCAGGTCTGTGCCGACCAGGAGCCAGAGCCAAATACACCCTTAACTTTACATGTCTTGGGAAACCGCCCTGGACTGAGAGGTGGAAAGATGGTATTTGTCTTAAAGCAGGGCTTATATCTCCACATTGCAGCAGAACCCAGATCTAAGACCTTTTATGCCAGAGGCTGCTCTGACCTTTAGTGAAGAGCAGTTCCTGTCCTGAGGTTTTGCAGTCTAATGATGAGACTGGATGTGCGACGACAGGCATTAGTGCAAGTGAGTCATCAGGGCCCACAGAGCAAGGCCAAGGGCTCCGGTTGTCCCAGGCACCAGGGCTGCCGAGCCGAAAGGACCAGAGGGGAGACTGTAGAAGGACAAATGACCTTGAAGTC